ATGGTGTGTGGAGAGGGATGGGAAAGGCAAAATGATCCTCAGTGGTTAGGAACGAAAGTCAGACAAATTCAGGCAAGAAATATGGGACAAATTCGTGGCAGCATGGTCATAAAACATGGGAATGGTTTACCTAGGGATGGCAGTGCAGCTTCCCAGAGTCTTTAAATCAACACCAGATCTCACACCATCTCCAGGCAGAGAGCATCTGCAAYCTTCTGAAGGCTTCCTTTGGGCTATGCTACCTCTGCTCTTAATTAGGGTGGGTTTAAAAAATTAAAAATCCTACTAGTTGATTTGCCTTTGCAGTGAATTTCCCCATTAGTTCCCATCTGAGCCCCGTGAAACCAGAACYGTGTGTCTGCTGTTCTTATTTCCAGCTCAGATAATTCCTCCAAAATGCCCTCTTGTAGAAATTGAGCCCAATCCGTGTGTGCTGTGGTAGCTAGGAGACTGGCAGGAGCGCTGCTCTCCGTGATTATCCAAAGCAGTTGGCATGTTATTCTCATTGCTAATGGGACATAATTATGTATTAAGGCTCTCTCCAGGTAGAGCATCTCAGGGCAATTAGAGCACACAGCAGAGGACACGGAAAAGACCCCAAGACGAGTCACTTTGTCCCTCTGGAAAGGGAAATCATTGCCCCAGAACATATTGTTGTATTTTTGGTGTCTGACATGAAGGTGGGATCCTTTAGGGTGAGCCAGGACTGGTGTGGTCAGTGCAGGGTCCTTTCTCCAGGGTGCTGCCYGTGCCTCAGTGTCCCCATCCAGCCCATGCACTGATGGGGCAATGTTCACACAGAAACTCATCCCCTTCATCTCCTTTACTCATTGCTGTCTGTTCTGGAGGGGGGATTGGATTAGGCCSATTTATCTCCTCTGATGATCACAGAGTGACTCAGATCTGTCCAGGCATTGCCTGGGTGTGCCTGGGGTGGATGAGGATTCTCTGTGTTTCTCCAGAGCTGCACTTTGGCTCCTTCCAGCGGGGCCCAGCGCTGTCCTCTGCAGAGCCCCACAGACAGAAACATCATCCCAAACCACAGCACTGTCCTGGACACAGATCCCAGTGGGGAGAAGGAGCAGTGATGAGATGAAGAGTCTGACACGATCACAGGGGACAGGAAAGGTGGAACTCCTGTCCTCTGTCCTGGGTTTGTGCAGACACACAGGGGATGCAGCCAGGGCTGCTCTCTGCTGCAAACACAGAGCAAAACAATCTAATTCTTGCAGGAAATTATCCTTCCCCATGGAAACAAGGGAATTATGTCCAGAAAGGTTGCTCGTACTGTTCAGATCTCCCTTTGACTGCAGGAAGAGTTAAAACAACAGCCCAAGGGAAAGCCATGGGCTCTGTGCAGCCCTCCCACCCTGGCCCTTCTCCTGTTCCCTTCTCCTCCCTGTGCCCTGCTCCTCTCCAGCTCCCGGTGTTCGGGAGACACCACAAGACCGAGTGCAGCAACAGCAGCGATGCCATCGGGAATGGCAGCTCAGAGAACGGGCTGAGTGTGAAAACTCGAGTGGGGAAAGGCAGAGGGGCTGCAGGGGCACCGGGCAGGGAACATCCCACAGCAAAAAAAGGCAGCTCCAGTCAGGGGAGCAGAGCACAGAAAATGGGAGCAACAGGGTGGAGGATACAAAGGGCCAGAGTCAACTGCGAGCACGGCACGGGAGCTTTCCATGGTGGGGAAGAGCCTTCCATGGTGGGACAGAGCCTTCCATGGTGGGACAGAGCTTTCCATGGTGGGACAGAGCCTTCCATGGTGGGGCAGAGCCTTCCATGGTGGGGAAGAGCCTTCCATGGTGGGGAAGAGCTTTCCATGGTGAGAAAGAGCCTTCCATGGTGGAACAGAGCTTTCCATGATGGGGAAGAGCCTTCCATGGTGGGGAAGAGCTTTCCATGGTGAGAAAGAGCCTTCCATGGTGGGACAGAGCATTCCATGGTGGGACAGAGCTTTCCATGGTGGGACAGAGCCTTCCATGGTGGAACAGAGCTTTCCATGATGGGCAGAGCCTCCACGCTGCTCCCCAGCTCTCAGGGCACAGCTGAGGGTTTCCTGCAGGTATCACCACAGGATATTTCCCCAGGAAAGGCTGGGCTCTGCGTGTGGGATGGCACTGCAATCCAGAGCCACCTTCTCTGGGTTTTATTCTGACTGGCAGGAGCAATGAGAACAAACACTGGCTGGCGGTGAAAGTTTCTCTGAACCAACAGAGATTTGCTTCAAAAGGCCAATGAAGAGGTTCCATTTAAATATGAGGCAGAAAGTGCCATATAACTCATATCTGCAGTAAATATATGTGCCCATGCATGCAGCCATCCTCTGAAAGATTGGGCACTGCAGAGCCAGGMAGATCCTGGTGCTGCAGCCTCAGAAACTCCAGGAGCAGACTGCTGCACTGGAGCCACACTGCTGCCAAAGGGACATGAAACTCGGGTTTATTTTTAACTTGGCTGGAGGGGAAGAGGAAGGAATATCTCACAGTTGAAGGAATAGATGAGGACCCTGGAGATCTCAGCTCGGTTCTTGGCTCTGCCACAAATTCCCCATGTGAGCTTAAGGAGGTCACTTCATCTCTCTGCGCTTCATTTCCCTTCTGCAAAGTTTGGAGAGTGTGATCCTCCCTCCGCTCTTGTCTGCTGGGTCGGGAGCAGACTCTGATTTTATTCATGGCAAGGGCAGAGCAGGAGGGGACTCGGGCTGGGGAAGGGGCAGGGCAGGGTGGCACAGGGTGCATGGTGCCTGCAGGACAGATTTCCATCCAGACTTCCAGGAAGGGATTTCCAGAGTGARCAGCAAAGCCSWGTYTTAGGAAAGCAGAAGGATTTGCAGSGTTACCTTCCCCTGGTGCCCAAAGCACCGAGGAGGGCTCAGGAGGTGCCACTCCACTCACCAGGTAATTGTTTTCCAGAGTCAGGGGTCTGCWGGGCCCTCTCACACCATTGTCACCCCATTTGTGCTCTCCTGGCTGGATTTGGTGCCAGGGATGGATCTCAGTGACTGTCACCTCTCCCTGCTCTGAGTGACAGCTCGTGCCCCAGCGTGGCACCGCTGCAGCTCCTCTGGCACAGGATGAAACATCGCTGACAATTCAGGGCCATTTGGATCCCATCCATCAGCGAGCAGGCAGCACAGAGACAGAGATTCCAGAGATTCCTGTGTCCCCATGGCTGGGGGGCTGCTCCTCACCCTGACCCCATTTTCCCCTGTCCCCTCTCCCCTCTGCTCCTCTCTGTGCAAGGACAGTCCTGGCAGGGATGGGGCTGCCCATCCCCATGGGGCCCGGGGCTGTGGCAATTCCCTGACAAGTTGTGTTTTACAGAGCAGCCACGGGGTAATCCTGCACGTCCTTGTTTTGTCATTTAGGGCACTTAAAGTGTCACAGAGATTTCACTACCCTAAAAGCTTATCTGTCAGCAGGAGAGAGTTATTCCAGTAAAAGGGTATCATCAGCGGCAGCGGGAGGAAAAAAAA